CACGCACACACACACACCCACACACACACACACACACACACACACACACACACCCATTCATCACACACACCCATTCATCACACACTAGACTGGTTGTAAAATGAGAGCTTTGAAAGGAGAGACGTGAGTGTGCGTATGTGCATTCCTATTTGTGCACATGCATTTAGCATGCAGAGAGATGTGTGTTAATGCTTCATATTTTGGTTCCATAGAAGCTGACATGGCGATCAGGCCAGGCAGACAGAGAGATGTGTGCCGTCAAGGGAAAACACAGAGTAAGTATAACTCCCAATGCAGCCCCACAAAAGTTCCTTTAGTGCCACTTAATTACGAAAAGGAAAAAGAAAATCAACACAACTCTCTGTGTATTTATAGGATGAGTGCCATAACTTCATCAAAGTGCTGGTTCCCAGAAATGACGATCTGGTCTTCATCTGTGGCACCAATGGCTTTAACCCCATGTGCAGATACTACAGGGTCAGTATACAGTTAATATATTCAATGATGCCTTGTGTGTGACCTGTAGATTTTTCGCAACACAAGCCGTCATTCAGCCAATTTTTTGCTTTGACTTGTGAGTGCAAACTTTGGATATGAGCACTGTGCGCTGGTAGTGAGAAGTTTTTCAAAAAGGACGATTTCAGCTGTTTATTGCCATTCACATTTAAAATTTAATGAAATAAATTAAACATGAAATCAAGATAATTACACACTATGTCTTTAAAACAACCATGTAGCTTAACCTTTCAGTCCACTAGCCTAGAGCTAATGCTAACACATCTACCCTCATGGAAAAAAAAATATCTAAACACCTCGTTTTATTCAATTTCTTGTTCATTTTAATGCCTGTTACCACTAAAGGTGTATCATGTTTTTAAGAAAACATGGAATGACTAAAAGCACTGTTTTTGGTGGTATAGTGCCAAAGCTATTGATGTACGAACTTATTTTGATTATTAAACCATTGGAAAAAGATGGGATATCAAGTCTTCAGCTGTATTAACGCCTACACTGTTTGGTCCGCTTTAAACAAACCTGTATTCGTCCCCCACTCTGGTGCAGGTTTGAATACTGTACACACAAACAAATTCTGGTGCGGACCAAACAACCAGACTGAGACCCACTTTTTGAGGTGGTCTTGGTGCACTTCCAAAAGGGCTCGGTGTTGTTTGCTCCAGGTCTGAATACAAACCACTGCCGGTATCAAGTACAGGATATGAGTGACTTTTTGGGCTGAACACGCCACGGTACCTTGCATGTTGTGGATCAAAACATAAGAGCACACGCTGTTCCCATTGGCACTATTCCAAAATTTGGAAAAATAGCTTTGCAAAACATGTATTGAATGAGCTGCTCTTGACACTCAGAATTATTTTGTTGCTCTAATAACAGCACAAATATGCAGAGAAAGATTGCAGCATGTAGGAATTGCACATTTTCGTCTTATTTCTGGGTTTCTGCTTTCGGTGCCTCCCTCATCATTTCTGTTCAATGGGAGTACTGATTATCACGTGTCAATGTGTTTACAGAATGTTCGCTTGCAAAAAGTCCAGTGTGAATACGAATCGCACCAAATTTTTAAAAAATGAAGTCCATTTTTGGTGCAGAACAAGAACGTTTCTACCAAAATAGACCCTAAAATGAACTAGAAACTGAAAAATGATAATATATGCCTGTGTTATGACCATTTGAGCACAGATATTTACGAATGGTGGCGCAACACATGTAGACAGCCAAAATAGCAACAGTCACGTCATATATTGTTTATCCTATGAGATGGCCGCCTAAGATTACTGCTGAGGAGTTTTGATGTCTCCTCTGGCTCCATGTATATAATTCTGTCTGTATGATATTGCTCCCACGTGACCAAGACATCCACACCAGGATGAGCAGGATTGTATGACCATTGAAATGAAGCAAAAACAGTGACAAAAATGGTTTCATTCTTTACATTTCATTTAATAATGTAATTACTGTATGTTTTTATGAAGTTCAATATTATATAGAGTGCTGTTTTTTTTCCCCAAAAAATGTGGCTCACGACACAGTGTTAAAAATGACCGAGGAGGCGGCCAGTAACTCGTAAAGTCAAGGTACCACTGTAACGTGGGTTATTCAATGCATTTGACTGGACTCTTTGGACAATTTCTTGTCCATATTTGCTCTGCCGTCTTTGTTGAATTTGTGCGCTTGTTCCTTCCTTCAGCTGGATAACCTCGAGTTGGATGGTGAGGAGATCAATGGGCTGGCACGGTGCCCATTTGACTCCAAGCAAACCAACGTTGCCCTTTTTGCAGGTGAGGGTCAAACGAACCGCCGCCTACACGCAGGCACACGATTGTCTTTCTGCATCAGAACTAATGTGTTCCGAGTTCCATTCCCATTATGACCGCTGTCTTTTTGCTGTGGAACAAATGTGCCTGCAGCCAAAGCAAGTTGGGTCAATTAAAGCCCTTTAAATAAAAAAATAATAAAAAAAACATATCAAGAAGTGTGTTGTAGGCCAGCTTTTGTTGACTGTGTTTATTGTTTGTCTTGTTTTGTAGAGGGGAAACTGTATTCCGCCACGGTGGCTGACTTTCAGGCCAGTGATTCTGTCATTTATCGCAGTATGGGTGATGGATCCGCCTTGAGGACCATCAAATACGACTCCAAGTGGCTTAAAGGTAAGCGAGGGCTCTTTCACTACATCTTCACTTTCCTCCTTTCTGGCGATACCACGGCACGGCATGGTGTGCGTCAGAGTCGTTCGAGTTTGTGATGGAGAGCTCTCCTGTCTTGCCTAACTCCTCGGGGGATTTGGCCTGCTCCCTCTCAGGCAATCTAGGTCACCCCCAGTCATATACAGCCTTGTACAAATCCCTGAAATATTCAACATCCACACTGGTGGTGACGATGCAAAAATACTCTCTCAACTCTCTGCTTCTGTTTCTCCCTCAGAACCTCATTTCCTGCACGCAGCCGAGTATGGGAATTATGTGTACTTTTTCTACCGAGAGATTGCAGTGGAGCACAGCAATCTGGGCAAGGTAAGAACAGTCGAAAGGCGCTGTTTTAGGACACTGCGTTTCCCAAACAGATGCTGTATCCCAAAAAGGCCGAAATCTCCTCAATTCCATGCATTTCTGACACAAATGGCCCAAGTGGCAGTGCCCGCTCATGCGATTACAGTACACCACATTAGAATAAAGCTGAATTTTCAACAGTCTGGGTTTACTGGGAGTGTTTGCCTGATGTAAAACCATTACACAGTGAGAGGATTTGTCTCCTAGAGAATGCACGGTCAGTATCGCTCTCTCTCGCTCTCTGCAAGCTAATGCAGGGGCATTAGGATGTTCTATGTTCGATGCCAGCGTCAGATTTGACCAAGGCCCATCCTGAGCTGGTCTGGCTAAACTTGCCTGGAGGCCAACAGTCTCCCATCAGTTTCCACTTGATAAAATATTGCAATCGGATTAGTACTTGGGACACACTTTAACTTTAATGGGGGTTATCGAAATCCCCAGATTATTTGCTAATATCTTGTCACTACAAATGATGGCAAGGATGTGTGAGAGAGAGGAGCGACTTTTGGACAGGCCCTGCTTGTATAGCAGTCACACTGAAACGATTTTGTGCTTTTTTTGTTATTGAGTGTGATTTGCTAAATAACCCGCCACAGGATTAAAGAAATTGTGGTGAAACTGTTACTATGCTGCATGCTTTTATTTTGAAGGTTTGACTTTTGACAGGCTGTGTTACGACACCACTGTTGCCCAAGTGGTGCTGAGAATGGGAGGGTTATGGGCATGAGTTGTGCTTGCAATTTGGAATTTGCCTTGCCATTTCTAGAACCCTTTATACATAACTTACAAATTACTTCAAATTAAAATGCATTGATTCCAGGAAATGGCTGAGTCAAGCATTTACTAAAACTAAGCAAACATATGAAAACTAGGCATTGGAGAACTGAGGTTCCACTGTTAAAGGGACAAAATCAATGCCAACCTCATGTGCTTGCTTTGAGATACCATGGTCAACATTGCTGCCACATAGTTGGCAACAAAGATGGCACAGCAATATAACTGGATGGAAAAAAACAGCAGGAATGATGACACACAATAGTGCTGCATTTAAAAGAAAAAAAAAACACACATGGCTTGGTTCCATTAGTCCAGCCATTTGATGTGCTTTTTAATCTGTAGCCTCAGTCAGGGTGAGCAATTTCCACCTAAATTGGTAAGGCCTAAATAAAAGTGTGTATTTTTGCTGGCCGCGTTGAGCTGCAACAGAATGGAGAGATGCATTATTTAGTGCACTGAAAGTGTTTTTAGCAACATTCACTCAGCTGAATTCCACTTCCTCCTGCTTCTATCCCCGCTTAAACTCTCGCTCCTTTTAGGTGGTCTACTCTCGAGTGGCCCGGATCTGCAAAAATGACATTGGCGGGTCGCAGCGGGTTCTCGAGAAACATTGGACATCTTTTGTGAAGGCGAGACTGAACTGCTCCGTGCCGGGAGACTCCTTCTTCTACTTTGACGTGCTTCAATCGATCACTGACATCATCAACATCAACGGCGTACCGTCCGTGGTGGGCGTATTCACCACACAGATGAACAGGTGGGCTTTGAGTGTTTAGGGCTGATGGATGGTCTAATTTCAAGTATGGCAGGTGGGCTGTACAGGGGTAAAGTATGGCCATTTTTTATCACTGTGCTTCTTCTTCTCCGCAGTATTCCAGGGTCAGCAGTGTGTGCTTTTTCCATGGCTGACATCGAGAAAGTCTTCCATGGTCGTTTTAAAGAGCAGAAGACTGCTGACTCCATTTGGACGCCTTTTCCAGAGGAGAAGCTCCCCAAGCCTCGGTAAGGACCTTTCAAACCCTCTGAAAATATCAGCGCAACATTCAAAATGGGATGGAATAAACAATGAGCCCGACCTTTCTGTGGCGCTTGACTCGGCAGCTGCCAACCAGTTGTTCTTTTTCTCAACCCTTTCTTCTGTTGGTCCGGTGATATCAAATATGTTATACAAAGTAAAAGATCAGGTTATTAGCCTCGACCGAGCGCACACATTCACCATCTGCTGATGATTAAATAATTAACGTGGCATAATTATGCCAGGATGCAGTTTGAGCCTGTTGTCCCGTGTACAGTACAGGCTATTTCGAGGCATGCCCCATATCCAAGACAAAAAGCACCCCATTTCCCTGGTGCATCATTGATGGAGGATAACCATGCATATTATGCATATTTAATGTTTCCGGCTGAGGCCCTTTTTTGTGATCTAATAAGCACCTGCTCACCAACCCTTTCATTTCACTTTCTATCTGCTTCACTGCACATGATGATTAGCCCCCTGGTATGCAATGATCACATGGGCTGCTTTTTGACCTTTTGCCCTCTGGGCATGTGAACCCTCCATTTTAGACCAGGGTGCTGTGCAGGTTACGGTCCAGCTGCATCCTTTAAGAGCTCCATTGAGTTCCCGGATGAAACTCTGCAGTTCATCAAGTCCCACCCTTTAATGGACACAGCTGTGCCTTCCATTGGGGACGAGCCCTGGTACACCAAGACACGGGTCAGGTAAATATCCTAAAACAACATAATTATTATATTGTATTTTATGTATGAATATAAACACATTGGTCTTACTTGGGTCGTGTTGTTAATAGTAACTGAGAACTTTACACAGACCAAATATGGTATCTCTTTAGATTTAGTTAAAAAGAGTTACATGCTATATTTATGTTGAGTTTTAGTTTTTGGTGAAAAACTTCTATGGAACAAACACAGTGTGGTCATTTCCAGCCGTGCTTTAGGAAATCCTAAACATCTGTTGTTGTGAACCGAATGACAAACCTCACATTTAATTATAGACATGAAACTTTGTGACAGAGTAAAAACCTTACAGATACACTGATACCATTTTTTTCAGGCTGAGAGTGAGTACAAATCCTTGAATTTAAGCACTCGCCGAGCCAGATCACTAATACTTAGTATCGACTAATGGTAGTGGAATTGGCGCATGCAGTAGCATTGTCATTTTACTTTTTTTTTTTTTTTTTTTGTACAACGACCTGCATGAATGCATCCGCAAAATACATGGATCCAATGTGTTCTAGGTACAGGCTGACTGCGTTGGCTGTGGACAACGAAGCGGGCCCGCACAAGAACTACACAGTGGTTTTTATCGGTTCTGAGTCAGGAGTTGTCCTCAAGGTTTTGGCAAAGACCTCGGCCATGTCCCTGAACGACAGTCTGCTTCTGGAGGAGATAGACGTCTTCAACAAAGCCAAGTAAGGCATTGTGCACTTTTCACCCGCTTTGTCTGCTTTTGTTTTGGTCTCGCTTTCTCTTCTCCTTCTGCCTCATGGCTGAGGAGTCAGCAACTATTAACTGGAGTGAGTTTCCTTGTGCGGGTGGCGGTGTCTGTCAGATTTCTACTCATGCGATGCTTGTTTTTTTTTTTTTTTTTTTTCCAATCGTTTATTTTGGGATTTGCGCATCATCATTTGCATATGTCAAATGTTAAAGGCCTGTTAAGCTGTGAGAGAAAAGCTTATCCACCCGATTAAATCTTTACTGAAAGAGTAGACACTAATCTGATGCACCTTGATTCCCCTTTTTCCCTTTTCCAGGTGCTTGTCTAACCACGACGATGATAAGCGCGTCCTGTCACTGCACGTCGACAAAGACGCACATAGCCTGTACGTAGCCTTTTCAAGCTGCGTCATCCGAATTCCCCTGAGTCGCTGTGAAAGGCATTCTTCCTGCCACAAGTAAGAAATGCCCTAATGCACATATAAATATGCTTTTGAAGCTATACATTCTGCAGTTTTGCACCTTTACTGTTTAGTTTTGTCCAGTAAATGTCACAAATGAAAGGATAACAACTATGCCCTTTCTACAAGGGTTAATGTTCAGCAAACCGCAAATGATTACTCTGGTCTTCGCAGAATGATTAAACGTTTCTGATTTCCGTGTGTGCGTGTGTGTGTGTGTGTGTGTGTGTGTGTGTGTGTGTGTGTGTGTGTGTGTGTGTGTGTGTGT